GTCTAGAGAGATGTTGTTGGATGTCAGCATCTTCCTCATTTTTATAAACTGTGTTTTCGCTATGCCAATACGTTCTCTAATTTCTTGCTCACTCTGTCTGAGATATTTGAAATTTTAAACTTGTTCTAGTCTTTTATCATTGATTAATATGTTTATTTCAATGGGTCTTTTTGATAACACCATGACTTTTGTTTTGTTGACATTCATGTTAAGTCCCACTTCTTCGCTGTTTGCCTTAACTTCGTTCACCAGAATTTGCAAATGGTCTTCTTTGTCCGCCATAAGTACTGTATCGTCAGCATATCTTAGGTTATTCATGTTCCTTCCTCCCAAGTTGATACCTATGCATTCATCACTTTTCCTAAATATGAACTCTGTATATATGTTGAATAGATACGTTGACAACACGCACCCCTGTCTCACTCCTCTTTCAATGTTTGTAAACAATGATGTTTCCCCCTGGATCCTTATTGCCGCCTTTTGTTGCCAGTATAAATTTGCTATTATTCTAATGTCTTTTCCATCAATCCCAACCTTTTCCAGACATTCAATAACTTGTATGTGGTGGACACGGTCAAATGCTTTGGAGTAGTCAATAAAGCATGCATATATATAAATACCTTGCATCCTGCTAAATCTAATATTTAAATTAGAATTACTAAAATTTAACATACAAAAAAATACATTAAATTCTGTGCTGGCATCATTCACTCTATGAAATGGTCTACTATAACCCAATACATGGAATGGCCTGCTTACATACCTCATATACAACCCTACTCCACAGTGCCTTCTCCAAGAACAGTTAGAGAGGTCATTGATTCTTGAACTTTGAAAGGAATAGGATAATAAAATAAAAGTTGTTCCCTCCAAAAAATGAAGGAAACTAAAACTTTGGCAAAAAAATCTCTAATAAATCAGGATAGTCCCAAGAGCTAGACACCAATATTACTGCTATAACAATACATTAGTTTCACTTTGCTTCTAGTACCAGACAACAATGAACAGTCAGGTAATGTCTATATAGTGAGTAATATTTATGTTACATAACACCACAACATTTACACACCTCAGTTCAGCCAGAGTGTGAATTGAAGGAAACACAGAAACAAGTAGTGTGGTTAAGCGCAAACAGAAAGGTCATTGTAGTCATTCAATACCATACCATTACACCATAGGGAGTAGTGAACACCGCTTTATGAGGTAGTTAGTTACCTTGTTGTCCAGGTAAAAGATTGTCATTGCTGGAATGAGGTGAATGACCTGTACATACAATCACTGGACTAATAGTGCTGATATTAAAGGCCTATATTCAATGTATACCGGACATTGCAGATTTTATAACAACATTCTGCCAAATTGGCACAATTAAATTTTCAATGAAAATCCATAATTTCACATTTTAATGCCATCTAACAGGAACTCAGGGGTCACACATCAAATTGTACTAGTGCATACTATTACCAAACATTTGAAATATTATCTCCTACATATTTTAAAAATAGTCATTCTCTCCATGTATATATTTTGGGAGTTGGCGCCCTCTCACATAAACATCGAGCCTNCCTTCCCCCCCCCCCCCACTTCAAGACTCTCCCACTTCAAGATTCCTAGATACAGCCTCCCCCCCTCCACTTCAAGACTCTCCCACTTCAAGATTCCTAGATACACCCCTGCTCTATGTGAATGATTTTATATATTTTAGAAATGCAAAGAAACAAACTAACAAAAGAATACTATCACTTACCCACATACCGATTAATAAACTGAAAGCTGACAACCCCTAACAACTGCAAGACCGCAAGTTTGATTTATGACAACTATTACATGAACTCACAGAATGAAAGATAAGCTAGATATTAATTATTATGTTTTCTGAAACTGGTGAACATTCAAAATCTTATTTTCTAGTATGATCTACTAAAAATCAGCAGTCAAAAAATTAAACTGGCATTCATCTCTATCACTAAATAAATCTGACCACAGCCATTTGCAGTAAAGATCCAGCAGGTGAAAGTCAGAAGAAGAATTGGAAACAAATGTTTAGGAGGCAGCTGAGGCAACTGTTTAGAAGGCAATGGCGGCAACATCAATAATGAAACAAGCAAACAGGGGTTGCTTTGTAACATTTAAAAGGGTCACTCGTTATCAAGTGTGAAACATTAAAGGGGTAAATCACTATCATAAGAAGGGTTGTGTGAAACGTTAAAGGGGTAAATCGCTGATCATAAGAAGGGTTATGTAAAACATTGAAAGGGTAAATCACTGATCATAAAAAGGGTTGTGTATAACATTGAAGGGGTAAATCACTGTCAACAAAAGGGTTGTGTAAAACATTTTAAAGTGGTAAATCGCTGTCATAAGAAGGGTTGTGTAAAACATTGAAGGGTAAATCACTGTCATAAGAAGGGTTGTGTGTAACATTAAAGGGGGAAAAAAAGGGTTGTGCAGAACATAAAGGGGTAAATCGCTGTCATAAGCAGTGTTGGGTAAAACATTAAAAGGGTAAGTTGCTGTTATCAGGGTTGTGTAAAACATTAAAAGTGTAAATCACTGATCATAAGAAGGTTGTCTAAAACATTAAAGGGGTAAATTGCTGTCATAAGTAGGCTTGTATAAAACATTAAAGAGGTAAATCGCTGTCATAAGCAGGGTTGTGTAAAACATTAAAGGGGCAAATCACTATAGCAGAGCAAGAAAAGATACTTGGGATGTAAACAAAATAGGCTTACACTTTAGTAAAGACAAGGAGGTGAAACATGAAAAACATCAGTATCAAATATGATAAAGCCATTTTCATTGAATACATACTGAACCAAAGACCATAGTATAATTTAACATGAGTGATATATTAATATATATTTGGTGCTATGAAATTTAAAAAAAATAAAATAAAATAAAAATACATTTGCTACACACTGTTATTTTATTGTTTGGTGACCCACTTACAGTTTGGAATTATCGGTCAGAAACCACCCTACAAATTTAAGTCAGAAATATATGTATATTCTCATCAAATCAGGTAAATGCACATTCGGGACTGGGGTTCTTATACCCTTGATGACCCCAGACCTTAGCCTGTGATTTAGTACCCTACTCATTCCTCTCCATCTTCACTTTTATACAGATTGCCCCATATAAATTGACAGAAGTCAAATAGAGATTTGATGTCAAGGATCAAAAGCATCCAGGATTGAATGATTACTGCAATAGATGTAAATCAAGTTATGAGACAAGGGTACAGAGGAATTGAACTACAAACTAAGGAACAGAAAGATCTCCATGGTTTAGCATACGCAGAGTTGGCCACCACAAGTTAGTGAACTGAGTTAAGCTGCACTTTAAAACAATTACTGGGATAAAAAAAAGAAAAAGGAAAGAATATGAAAATAGAAAATGTTCAGAACCTAATGAGGAAGCATGTGAAAGTGAAAATTGAAAACTGTTGACAAGAAGAAATATATGTTAAGGAAGGTCATGACTTCTGTTTCTAAGCTAAGTCATCTTTCTTAAATAGAAACCAAGTTGGGGGAAAACCTGTTTCAATTAATATTACTGAGCATTTACATCCCTGATGAAATAAAATAAATCTTTCAAGGAATTGTATACAAACGTTTAATGGCATCCTATATTTAAAAAGGGAGCTGGTTCGGTGGCAGTTACTGAGTTTAGGCTGTTAGGCCTATCATGAATTTATGATCAACTAACTTGTCTTCAACATGACTTATGGATATGTAAACAATTTTTTAATATTCATCACAATTGGACCCTTACTATGTATCATGTTATTCTGAACAGATTATAAACCCTAATTAAGAACATAATTTGTTGCAATTATCATGGGATTGTTTTTAGTATCAATAGGAGTTTCTTTACAGATAGCCATGAGTCAGTTCTACAATGTAAGTAGTGGTGTAATAGGAAGGACTGCGGCTGCAGTATTAAGCTACTCCACCGGACAAGCTAAGGTGCGGCCATCCCATGGCAAAACAACACAACTGCTTTTATATTTTTGTTTAAGTTAATACAATGTTTTGCCTCTCAAACGGGTGGCTATTGGGTACTTGTTGGACCAAAACAAATTCCTTTTCTTTATTTAATATTTATTTGGGCATAATAATACATTCTGAAACGTCACAGAAAAATTTAAATTTTCTCAAAGCGCCAAGAGGCCTACCAGGGCTTTGCCTCTCAAACTGGCTGGCCTTCTCCGGAAACTGTCAGACCCCTTGTATCCTAGAGCCACCAATGAATTAAAGTGCTACAGTAGGTCAATTTTAAGAGTAGCATTGAGTTGAGGAAACAGTCTGCAGTTTATAATTTGTCACTAAAGGATACTTCTCCAAGTTTATCCCTTTAATATTATAAGTATAAAGACAGTCTTACTCAATGATTAGTCATATTTCAAGAAATCTAGGGACATGAAATTCCAGGTTTATTTTATTTGTGTGGATATAAATGATTGATTAAATCACTGGTGTTTGTGAGTAATATTCAAACTGCTCAGTGGTAATAGGGACACTATCACTGAATCATTTGAATATGTAATGAAATGCTACCTGACATTAAATAACAAATATTTAGTTCACTTTTTTAAATTGATTAATATTGACTTATATACAAATAAGAGGAACAGTGAGTGTAGAAAAAGAGGAACAAAGGATTCAAAAACTTCATCAAAATTTTTAACAAATTCTCAAATTTATGTAAGAATGACAAAGGAGAATGAGCGGGAGAAGAGAGGCAAAAGAAGGATGAGAGAGAAGGAAGCTGGGTTGAAAGGGGAAAGGGAATAAGGTGGTATAGAATGTAGGAAGGGATTATATTAAAATATTACATTTTTTAAGATATATTTTTCAAGTATACCAGCTGTCTCTTATACACATCTTCCCTGATGAAATAAAATAAATCTTTCAAGGAATTGTATACAAACGTTTAATATTAAATAAGCATATGCACATTTGAGATTGCAAGTTCAGAATTTCATAATTTCGTCCTACCTTGATACTCTTCTTCTTCTTGGCGTTCATTTATATCCAGTGTGATTTGTTTCACTCGCTGCTTCTCGGCTAATTCAGCCTGAAAAAAAAGCATTTTGAAACATAAATTACAAGACGTTCTCAGCTAATTAATTAGATGGAAATTAGTATATAAATGAGCAAGTAGTACAAAGAATTAATTGCCTGCAGGGCCCAATGAATATTTTTGAATGCATTGCTTTTATCTAAGTGCTGTCCTATCGAAAGGTTGGTGGCGCTAAAACACAGACAGGAAATGGTGTTCAGGTTGTTAAATAAATAGAGCCCGAAATGGCCGTGCATTAGATTAAATTGATGTATAGTAGAATACGATAGAAAGATTGTGTTAGACATAAAATGATGTGTAATGAGTGACCAATAATATTACCACAATGATTATAATAATTATAACAATTATGATAATAAAATGGGTTTTACGAACATGCATTTTGTTACTGCAATTAGGTCAAACTTTCTTCTCGTCTTAATCTTATGGCCCGATTGCAGGCTTCGGCCCAGTAGCTCAGTATTTTGAAATGGATTTATTTGGAAAAATTTGTTTTGTAATAGTTGTTTTTTTTTTTTTGCAGATAGGATGAGTCATAAACAAACCTGTTCTCTATTCTTGAGATTTGCAACTAAATGTGAGCTCATCGGCACTTCAAATCCTTTAAATTGTTGTTTATTTCCCTTCCGAACAACAAGTGTAAAATTGATTGTATCTTTTTTATCTTCTTCCTCCTCATCCACTTGTTCAGTTTGTAGGAACGTAAAGCTTTTCCTACTGCGCTTCATGTGTACGGGAACGCTGACATCAAACTGGGGTACCTTAATTACTTCACTGCTACGATGCTGTGTGAAAATAAAGGTTATATTATATTAATTCAAATGAAATACAGATTTACTCTAGCATGGAGATAATCACTTTCAACTCCATTATACTGTGCTATTGTTAACACATTAGGTGTTAATCATATGACGGTTAAATCCTACTTAAATGTCACCTACATTTGTGGCAAAGACAAGCCAAACTAGTCACTCATCACAAAAATTAATTTTCAGTTATTAATACAGGGTTAAACAGTGACATGAAAGCTATAAAATGGTAAAAGAATCATTAAAATCTGACATTTCGTTATGAAGTTACAGAAGTTTAAACATACAGCTGTTTAAAGAACAATATTTGAGAAATCAGCCTTCAAAGTTTATGATTTTGGGCATTTCTCAGGCAGAAACCATCACCAAATCGTTAAAAGTTGTTGTTTTAACATTGAAGATGGGGAAAAATAACAGTGTAGCATGATATATAGATATATAAAGGTTAGTTTAGTGTAATAAAATAAATTTCAAAAATTTGAACATTACATTATGTTTTGTCCATTATCTCTGAAACAGGATTTGCCAACGAGTGACTGGTTTGGCTAGCCTTTGCCACATTTGGTTTTCTATCATATGTTTATATTTTGTTTACTTGATCTTGAAAATGGGTCGATAATGGACATAAACGTTGATCTTTTTTGTCAATATATTTTGTGTTAAAGAAATACAGATATATTTATCATCAAAAGTAAGACAAATTACATGGAAAATGAAACTCATTTAAAAAAAAAACGTTTGGTGAGGAAATTTAGTTTTAGGCCATTTAGTTAAAATTATGCAAGTTATAAGCACATTCGACACCAGAACGCAAACAATTCTTCTGCACAGCAGTGAAGTTAAAGCATTGGACATAGCCATGGCCTATCCAACAGATACTGGAGGTTTAGGCATGATACAAGTATATGGTACAAGGCTGCCCTAAATTTGAGCCATGGCTGCATCAAAAGCTAGACAAAGCCTCAAGCATCACCCTTAGCATGTCTCATAACTCAAATCGGCAGTCTCACACACTCCCACAAGCAAGCAAAAATGTACTGGAAACAAACATATCTGTTCATGGTATTTGCATATTTACACTGTACTACTATATTAATTAAGTCAGCTTAACAATGTATTACCAGGACACAGGGAAACACAATTTGATTAGAACAAGTAGCTTCTCCCAGCTTGGGACCCAAGCCCCAATATGGTGTCACGTTTAAGCCTATGATACTAGTGTGGGCTTTGAGTCATAGGCTAGTCCAGAGCCAGTGCATTGAAAAATCAGTATATATTATATCAAGTCCCACATTAATTTACATTAGGTTTAGCACCAGTTATATCTAGGTCTAGTAATATTGTTGACACATATTGATATGGAATCAACTACAGATTGCTCAGTTTGCAGTTATTATATTGCATATCAGGTTTACTCATGGGAAAGAAACTCAAAAATGACAGTGAAGGATAGCACATGTAGTCTTGGACTTCATTACAAAATTATGTTGTTTAATACACGATTTCCCACAGGGAAATAAAAATTAAAAAACTTTTGTGTACATTGTATACAATGTACAATACTTGGTGTACATATGTACAACATGTGACTTAGTTGATACTGAGTGTTGACAAATAAGATGGCCATGTACTAGTGTGAACAAGTGTTGAAATGTGTTGATGAATAATGGTCTCTAATCTTAACAGTCTGTAACAGCTGGGTGAGGGCAGCAAACTACACAACATAATATGTGCCTGGACGTTGCTCGGAGTAATAATTTTAAAAACAATTTCATTCTAAAGGACATATGAGTAATTAATGGAAAAACGTAAGTATAGCTTTACAAATGTAAACTACAATTATAAAAACAATTCTGCTCTTACTTGGGTCGTTTCTGCCATCATTTTATCAAAAGCTGATGTAAAATCTTCATCTTCCGGACAGTCAATCAACCTTGGTCTTTTTTTTAACAATGTTACCTATGATTAAAAATATAACATTGATTAAAAATTTACACTGATCTTAGCTGACACTTGTAGGAAAGCAAACCACTATTTACAGTGCAGTTATAGAGCAGACTAGTTCAAAAATATGTGGCAAAGACAAGCCAAACCAGTCACTCGTCGCAAAATGGTAGGTATCATGTAAATTGTGTGGCTTTTAATTTTGCTTTTATAGGATATTTTTGTTGTTTGAGCATAGATGAAGATGTAAAGAATTTGTTATTTTGACTTACACTATCCTCATCTTCTTCTTCACCAGCCGAATCAAGTGTTATATCTACATCATCCTCCTCATCCTTAAAAAATACAATAACAAACTGTCTATCAATACTTTCAATAATTCTTACAAGGTAAATGCAAACTACTTATATAAAAATGATTTTAGGTAAGCTTTACTGAGCCATAAGACCTTATAGAATTCAGGCACACTACACCAAGCTTGGACATATTAAAAATACAATGTTCTTTTATTAATAATAATAATACTTTTATATAGCTCCTCATGCAAAAACTAGCCTCAAAGTGCTGAAAGATGCCAGTTGAAGTTAGGTATATCATAAAGAGGTAAGTCTTTAGTGCCTTTTTAAAACATTCAATGTTTGGTGAGTTTCAAAAGCTTACAAACTTTACAGTACAGTTTCAGTATGGGCTATTATAGTTATGCATGCTTGTTCTATAATTTGCATGTTTAGTTTTCAACTTTCACCATTATTAGAACATTGAGATGTTAATTACTCTACACAGTGTCTAATAAATTAAAGTCTCAGCTGATATTACTGTTTAAACTACAGCTACTTTTATCATGACATAATACCAATACTATAAACATTACACACCCAACTGGCATAAACATAATGATGTGAGTGTCTTGTATAGACAACGTTTAAGCTTTTCCAAGACTACCAAATTTTATTTAACAAAAAACTGTTGTATTCCCATATATAGTCATTACCATATATAGTCATGCCTATATATTCAATGGTCATAATATGATGTAATCATGACCATATTTAGGCATGTCACATTCTTTGATATTCTGGATAAGGCTTAATGCTATCAATAAATTGACTGACCACAGGTTCAGGTTGATTGAGGCACTGTGACAAGCTCTGACCCTGACTGCCTCCTGTACTCGCCCTGTCCATGTTATCTGAGAAATCTATATCAGAATCATAATCCTCATCCTCTAGAGATGACATAGTCCCAATAACTGCAGCTGGAAAAAAGTAAAAAATCAAGATACTGAATGCTAAATACTTCATTTGTCCATCATCGTTATAAAATATAATAATAATAATAGAAATTTATTTTTAAGACAACAAATACAAAATTAAAATCATAGTAAAATCTACAATGTAAAAGTATGAGGTAAAAAATATGTAAGAATACTTACATAGTAAATTTGAACAGTAATTAGAACTTTGTAACAATAAAATATTATGAAAAAATATGATTTCAAGGATTTATAATTCAAAATATGATAAAAGAACAAAAGAGGGAGTTCATCCGCTGTATGTGTCAGTGGTAGGGGGTGTCAGCTTACCTGTTGAGTCTGTTTCATGGCTTTCTAATATAGGAGTTAGACCCTGACCTGGCTGGTAACTAGTGGCTACTGATGGCACAATTACTGGGGCTACAGACAAAGAGAAAAACAATATAGCAAACTGAAAAAAGTAGAATTGTTTAGATGCGAGAAAATTATTTAATGCAGAGTAATATAAATAAAATTTTTAAAGAAAGAAATTGTGTAAATATCAAACATTTAAACTATTATGATTATTATTATTAATGTATAGAAAAGAGCAAAAAGCAAAAATTAAGTTAAAGATACTGTAAATATAATATTCAATCATTACATAATTTCTGGATATACTCATTCTGTAGTTTCAGAACTTCATCATTGGATTCTTCTAATGATGCAAGCATCTTCATTTTGGGTCTGAGTGCTTCAAGTGTGTCTGATATCATATTATCTACATCCATTGGGAACGGTCTTATCTCAGGGTCCCATATTGCAAGACTCTTCTTATATAGAACATATTGCTGAGAACATATAAGATAAACATTAATTTCAACATTTACTTTTACTTTTGAGATTCTAATAGGTTTCAAATAGTACTAATTCAATTTTTTCAATTTTCTTTGGTCCTCTTTTTTCATTTCTTCAGTCAAGAGAGCAAATTTCATGACTAGGCCTAGACCTACTTTGAGTTTGTTTATTGCTCATGCCTTCGCAATGAAATATAAGCAAGCACTCAGCATAGAAATGAAAGGTTGCAGTACAGCTACCCAGTGTCTAGATTTTACTTTTTTTGTACACAATTATATGTTTCATAGGAAAATAACATTGGAAAAAACTTTGATGATATTATAATTCAATTATAATAATATTTATAGATATATTATAAGCATATAAAATATACCTGAAAATAAACAAGAAAGCAGTCCAGCTTCTTCTTAGTGCTTCCACGGTCAAAGAACTGACCACACGTGTCCAGTAATGTACATACAAGTCGGATACGAAACAAGTGTTCTGGTGGGTCAAATTGTGTAGGAGTGCCTATATAAAATAAAGCAACATAGTAGAAAATGACAGTAAACAGCACTGCATATTATAACTTGCAGCTAACATGCATTTCCACCAGTCTAACAATCTGTTGTTATATACTCAGCATAAAGCGCATTTTACATGGTAGCTAGCATGTATATCTACAAGTTTTGCAATCTATCATTATATTTGGTATGACAGCCAATCACAGAAAAGATTTCAATTTTAAACAACAATTTGATTATCAGCCAATCAAAAAATGATATTTTATATGGCCTAACAAAAACACACTAATGTGTTATTGCTGTACTGGTTGCTAGCTGGGAATGCAATGAAACACAAGCTATTAGAGCAAAGTCAGTGTTCTAGTGGTATAATAATTAGTTTAATAGTAAATCTGGAAGTTGTCCAAGATATTAACTCAACTTCATCCTTAAGTATTTGGGGATGTGCTGAGCATTTAGTGCAACATGTCAGATTGGAAAAAAAAAGGTATTAACAGAAAGACTATTAGCAATGTATGTATACTAACCATCAAGTGAAATTCCAAATTTGATGAGAGTATAAAGAGTCTTGAAGACAACAGCAGATTCTACCATGCGATAGTTGTACAGTTCTCCAAGGTACTTAACCATACTCACACGCCGCTGATTCAACTCTGGTAGATTCAACTACACAAAAGAATAATATTGTCAGTAAAACCAATGAGGTATTATTAAAAAGGAGATCACTCATGTGTCGTTGTCATGTTGTTGCTAACGAAAAAATGTGAATTATAGGGTAATACGCACACGCGCGATCCAAAGGCGGGGAACACATTGGTTTGTCGCGTCAAAGGGATCTGTTGCCGAGTGATCTCCTTCTCAATAATACCTCAATGGTAAAACACCCTAAGATTTTATTGAAGACATGTTTTCTTTCCCTACAAGGTGGAATATACTAAAAAGCAACACTGCTGTGGGAAACAATGCTGGATCTCATTTAAGCAATCCTAGGCATTGGTTCATGTTCTTGTTTAAGTCTATGCTTTTATATTGTATCATATTTTAATTCTTATGTGCTGAAATTTATTAAATCAAATTGAGTAAATGTATACATTTAAACATATCCAATAACTTCTAATTACTTTTCATATATATATTCTAAAATACAAACATACATAAATTAATGATAAATACCTCCATTCCTAGCCTTATATCCTCCATGACACTATCAACAACCATGATTCCAACATTGTCATGATAGGCTACCAGTCCAGCCACTAGGTTAGCTATGCAATGAATATTGCTGTACTTGACATTCCATACTAATGCCAAACACTTTGTTGCGTATGCTTCAATCTGAAAAAAGAATCAGGAAAAAACTAATTAATTTGGCTTTGGCTAATTGAAGCATTGAAGAATCTTTAGTCCAAAAACTCATAATGTATATCGGAGAAAGTCCCAGTTTGAAGTGTTGGGTGTGCAATTAAAGTCATAGCATACATCTGAACTTGATCAGGCTCCAACATTTCTTAATCTTGCTTATTTATTCTATTTATACAGTTTGTATGAAGTGGCGATAATCTTTTGTTTGGTTTTCAATCATGAAACACAATATACAAAAAAGAAAAAACGTTTCACTGATTCATGTCCTTGTACATACATCTGGATCTGTCCATGGCAGTTTCCTTATCTGTCTTAGGGTTTTCTCGACTGTAAGTTTGGTCAGATCTTTGAACAAAAGTTTCCTAATATACTGGTGCATTGGTGGACGCACTTTGACTTCAGCCTAAAAAAGTAAATTTGTATCAGAAGACTATAAATATAAGCAATCATTAAAAAATAATAGTTTCCATTATCATTATTGTTTGTTCATTTAAGTAAAAAATATCACTAATAATATACACAAATAACCAACTTAAAACTATAAACATCTGAATTTTTAATTTCTAGCTCCTTTTCCTGCCTACTTTCCTTTTTTTTTTGGTTCTGTCTACTTATTTATCCCACTCTTTATGTAGCTTCATCATACCTCTGGCCACAATTTAGGTTGTCTCTTACCTGTTTGGTCTCGGGAGGGTTACAGAAAAAGAAAGCATTCTCAACCATAGTCTCATAGCGATCATTCAAGTGCAGTCTTGTCTTTTTACGCATCATTTGTTCCTGAAATGTAAATACACATATTTTAAATTCCTAATCATGCCACATGTTTACACGATATTTACCTAAGCATGCGTACACCTTCCTTTGCCTATTTAAAGTGTAAAACGTAAGAGCTGTATCTTAGTGATTTAATACATCACATCAAAAATTGGTGAAAAATTTAATTGATGTCTTTAAAATTAATAATAACAACAATATATATTTATATAGCATATTTTCAGATTTGGACTGAATAAGGATGCAATAAAATAATATTGTTAATGTTGAGAGTACAATCTAGGGGTGCAATTCTTCAAATTTTTCATGGTCAGCAAAAACCAAGGTGGGCCTCACCTGAGCACAGACTTTCCTGGTTTACCAAATAATTAGCGTGGAAGCTCAAATTTACAGTCATGGCAGATTAAATATGTTTGAAATAATTGCTGAAAATTGGTTGATATAAATGAGAATTTTGATTATAGTGCGCAAATATTACATTATAACAAGCCTTACCAGTAGAGCATTAGTGCGGACAAATGAGTCAGCTGTACGGTAGAGAAAACGACCACAAACTTCCAACAATGCACATGTCATATCAATGTTATGATGGCGGAAATCAGACAGCAAAACCTATAAATACATCACGTATATGTTATCATTTGCTATCATTGTGAACGATAAAAATGAGATTCAGATTCAATTAAAACAATTATTTGAAGGGAAAATGAAAAGTGATGAACAAATTTGATTAAAAAAAAACAACAAAAAAAACAGCCAGATGCAGATAATCAGAACTCGTAGGATAATGCAAGATTATTATCACGCCATTTCCTTTCCATAACAAATCACAGCACAGTATTCAGTAGGCAGTTTGAACTACCCACAAGTCTAAAGATGGGTGAAGCTTAAGTTGATATGAGCCCACTCATATTGATACTAAATACTAAGAATATACTCAATTTTACCTTAAGACACTGTAAAGTATCTGCCTTTGGACACATCTTGAACTTGGTCAATTCACCTGAAAAGCATCAAACATTTTATTTGTCAATAACATTGAAAAAGTTGTCAATAACATTGAAAAAGTAAAGGGACAGATATTCCATTTAAAAACAAAGAGAACAAGACTATTATTTCTCATTAAGACAACCATGCTTCAAACCAAATAAATGTAAAAATGTATATTTACCTATAAAACGAACTGTTTTGATTTTAGACTCAATATTAATCTGATCCTTCTTTTTCACCTGTTAAAATATAAATTGTTATATAAATTAATGTAAAAGTAAAACTATAATGAAGAAATTCATTATTTTAAAGATATGTTCATAAGTTTACAAGTGACAATGTAATAAAAAATACTTTGTCACATTAGAGTTTCTTAGTGATGATTTTCATTACTTTGGGAGTGCAAAGTAGTAATGTGGTTAATCTACATACTGAGTAATCAGTACACTTGAAGGGATAAATGGTAATAAAATAATAATATTCACATGGTATTTGAAATCTGCCTTAAGTCGATCTACTAAGTCCGTAGCTACATCTGGCATACAAGGAAACAAGGTAGCAACTAAGCGAGAATAGAATGACAGTAAATCCAGTCTAAAAATAGAAGAACATTTAAATGAATTATAACAACAATAATAATGGTAGACTTTATGCACATTATCATTACCCACGTCATTGGATTAAACACTTATGGAACACAAACATATACTGTCTAATAGTAACTTTATTTAATTTCCTAGTTTGATTAATAACTTTATATTTCAATATGTGAGTTTGCATCAGAAAATATCACAGACGTATTATTGTACCGAATACTCAGTACATTCCCAAATACTTGTGAAACAAATTCGCAAGTGGTAATGGCACCAGGCTAGTTATCTGGAGGTCGCGGGTTCAATTCCCATTCGAATCACTTGCAAATTTTTTTCGCAAGTATTTGGGAATGCACTGAGTATTCAGTATGATAATACATCAGGTAAGGCAAAACATCACTCTTATAATATGGATTTAGTTTTCAACTGAAAATTTGAATTTTTCTCACTAAACAACATACATGAAAAATATCAAAAGTCTTTGAATAATACTGCATGTCAATATTCCATGTGCTTGCAAGACAATAATATAGGATTTAATGATGATTGTTTACAGGTGCTAAGAAAGGCAATACGATTGTTCAAAATAGTGTTTTGCTTATACTAGTGTTCTCCTTGGATTGTATGCTTTGAAATTTAAGTGACCCTTCATAAAACTTAGCTAGCCCTAACATCGCAGCGTAGTTTGCGGGTCGAAGACCATCATGCATACCTAACCTATGGTTTCTGTGTCTATGTTGCACTGCTTTAGGTAATGTTTTACTTTATCTCTGAAACATTTTTGTTGTCCTCCTTTTGTTTATTTTTATTTTTTTTGACATAGCATTACTCAGCAAACATAATTTGTTTGGGTAACCTGTCATTCTCCATTCAAATGACATGGACCATCCAGCACAGTTTACTCTTAATAGAGGGATTTAGCGATGATTGTTTACAGGCGATCACGTGATCTGACTTGGGTATACATGAAAAACATTACAGTGTGATAGCATAGGAAAAGATAATGTTATGGTTCCGAAACCAACCACCCACTGTTAACGTGGAAGTAAACGGCTAGGAAAGGCAATACGATTGTTCAACATAGTGTTTATTTACTTACCGTATCCTAGCGTTCTCCTTGGATTGTATGCTTTGAAATTTAAGTGATCCTTCATAAACCTAAGCTGGCCCTAAACATTGCAGCGTAGTTCGCGGGTCAAAGACCATCATGCATACCTAACCATGTCGTGGATGTGCAGGAGCCTAGGCCTAACATTTGTTGAAAAATCTCAATGTTTGCGGCCAGTATTATGATAATCATTACAGCAATAAACAAGAGATGGCAGCGATAGAAATCGCCATGTAAAACACCACTGTGTTAGTGGATTGGTTATATCCAACACCCAAGTTAGGTCAGGTGACGCCCATCGCTAAATCCCTTTATTACCATTTACTGTACAACATTTATTCATAATTTTATTTTCCTCAACATCAAAGAATCAAGTTACCTTGTTCTTGGAACATTAAATAATGTTTTAACTAATTTCTTCCTGTTGGCCTTTGTGTTGTAATTCATCACAAATTCAACAGCAGCCTGAGGAAATATAAAACAAACATGTTTTGAGAGAAAAAATACTTGCATGTTTATGATAATTATGCAGAATATAATCCATGATCCAGGGATTATAATCTAGGCACATACCATCATGTAACCATACAACCAGTAAGTGAATGGAACCAATTATGTAACTATCTAAATGTGTATAAATTTGTAGACTTACTGAATCAATGAATTCTCTGTTGACACAAGTATGAAGTCTTTGCAAAAAGCTCTCAAGTTGCATCTTAAGGCTAACATTACTCACTGCTTCCTCTTCCTCAGTATCTGTTCAATTAAAAAAAATAATGATTGCAAATTAAATATTTTTTACTAACTCAACAACTTTATTCAAGAGGTGCAGTAGTATGTATTTATAAAATAATTAAAACAATTCTGAAGACTACGGTGTTATCTGCTGTAAAAACTATAACCTGAAAATATAAAACATATCAATTGCAAGCATGGTTTGCTTCAAAATAATATTATCAAATGAATTATTATTAAAAAAACTGTACATCCTACATTTAATTGTGTGGAGATTATACTACCAGTGCAATAGTCAAGAGGACTTGTGACTGCAGGCCCTAGGTCTCCACAGCTTACTGTTGCACGGCCTAAAATCCTTGCCTACCATGGTTAGTAATGCCTAGTACAGCATTGGCGGGCAGGAGGGATATATAGGTAGTAGAAGGTATAACAAAAGTTACACCAACCATACGTGCATTTACTACATGCCTAGTATATCGGTAGGCAGAACAGCTAATAACAATGTATTTTTAAATAAATACATAGTAGACCATTGCAGATGTCATAAGAAGCACCTACCATCAATTTCAGTCTCTTCTTCCACTACCTCATTCGGTTCTTCTGTCACCTCTTCCTTCCCTTCATTCATTACGTCCTCCTCTGGTAACTCAACTAATGAAAAACAAATCCTTGACTAAGATTAAAGCTATACATCATTTTGCTCAAAAATTTTAAGCATGATGCTTATTAGCAATCACACATATTCCCAACTACCCCTGCAGCAGCCTAGTTGAGCTGTGGCCTGCTACCACCTGCAGTAGTCTTCTTAGGCTCCCACTGCAGCAGCCTTCTTAGGCTACTGCCTACAGCAGCCTTCTCAGTCCACCGCCTGCAGTAGCCTTCTTATGACACTGCCTGCAGTAGCCTTGTCCGGCTACTGCCTGCAGTAGCCTAGTTGGACTACCGCTTGGGATATCGCCTACAGCAGCTTTTTGAGTAGCTTTGTTAGGATACTGCCCCTTGCTACAATATTGCCTACAGTAGACCTGCTAGGTCAATATAGGATTTAAAAGCTATTTAATGCTTTGTTTTAGTGTTTTACCTGATTCTACTTTGTCAATTTCTTCCTCATTTTGGTCACCAGGGGCTTGCTGTTTGGAGTTGTCCTTGAACAAAATCTAAGAACACAAAGATATTGCTGGTAAATTGAATGAAAACTATACATTCAAAGTAAAGACTTAAAAGATTAGTCATTGTTCAGACTTACTGCTGGAACTATAGTTCGAAGGTCAGTCAGGTTTTCATGGAACGTTCTCGTGTCCTCATCTTCCCACAAAGATGTCTCGAAATCAAAATCAGAGGAAGACTTCATACCACCAAACATTCCAATCAAATCATTTTCCCGTTCTTCTCGTAATTTCTCTAAAATTTCACAGAGAGTACACCGTTACTATGTGTTTACTGTGTAATATAAGTATATAAATTTTGTTCTTGAATGGGTTCAGATGTGAATCATTAACTGTACATCTTTATATGATGAACTAAATGTGTGTAATACGGTTATATGCAGCATAAACTACCTGACCCTCTCACTGTTGATGAAAAATCTGCAATAATTTTGATCTAGTTAATAACAATAATTTTCTTCCCTCCCAAACCTAATAATTTCCCCATAGCCCATAAAAAACACAATTGTTTACCATCTTCTGGAAGATCTGGCATTTCTAGATCAAGTAAATCCTGAAGGAAAAAAAAATGTATGTACTGCATTTTGCAAATATTTAAACAAAACAGTATTATTTTACCCTAATAACAATGTACCATTTAACTAAACCTTCCCCCTTGAATAATGTTGATAACGTCCAACAAAACGACATACAATGCACAAATGTAAACTTGTATTTGTGGGACATATGCACATTACTCTTGGCACCACCTTGGCGCCACTTTTGAAAGGTACATTAAGTAAAAGTTGCTAATGCTATTAATTTTCATAAATGATACAAATATGACTGATAACACTTACTGACAAATTGGTCGTATTCACCAATAATTTCTGGTAGATGACCTGTGTTTCCTCAATATTTCTCTTCCTTTCTTCACTAAGTTCACCTTTTGTCTATAAAGCACATAATATTGTGGTAGCGATGATGAAATAATCACAGCTCATTATATTCTAACTATGATGTCATACTAAATAACTTCTGTAAACAATCACTTCTTAAAATTTAATGTTTGATCATTGTTTGTTAGTAATGAGATAAGAGGATATTTTTAAGTGTTCTGTGGATTTATAGTTTTCTTTGTACAAAGTGTATCCAATCATTTTTATTTCCTTGATGTTGTAACAACACCTAGCAAATTCTACATTTGTAGAGGCATTATATCCACTGTTTGTTGTTTTGCACAAAACAGCAGTGTCCAATCAAGATGAATGTCAGTCAATCAATTAATCAATCAATGTTGTTTCACATCAACATTCTAGTTGATATTGTGATTGATAGCCATCAGCATACCATAATTTGCATTTAATCATTCTTTTAAGCACAGTCTTTTCATTTTCTCTATTTTTTTTTTTGGATATCATCATTATTTGTCTATATGTGGCAAAGACAAGCCAAACCAGTCACTCGTCGCAAAAATCAATGTTGAGTTATTA